TTCCACAACAGGTGCAAGCGGTTCTGGTGTCGTTTCAGAACAACGCCTTAGACGAACCGGTTGCATCTGCCGATCGTATCTTAGAAATTACAAAATCTTCTACTACCGAGGTATTTTCAGTCAAAGAAAAGCCTCAAACGACTCAGAATGACATAACCGAGTTATGTCATACACTCACGCGTTATCTTAATCTTCGTAACGACCGTAATCGCTCGCACACCTCACGTAGAAGCATTTCTCGTAAGCGATCTGTCTCTAGACCACGAGAGACGGATAATCCCGACCGGTGCTGGAAAGTCTTCCAGAAATTGCGGAAAACCCTGCAATTTTCCCAACACGAAACCGACTGACTCGAAAAACAACTCGGGAAACTTCCAAGTCGGCACGCGTTAACGGCAACCGTAGCCGGCGAACATAGCCGTCTGTTGTACGTCACAGATGTGACAACGAGAGTTCGCCACCTCGTCGACACTGGCGCAGAAGTTAGCGTTCTCCCAGCAAATCCTAACGACCGGCTTAACGAATCGGCACTAAACTTACAGGCGGCAAACGGAAAACCTATCGCTACGTATGGCAAAAGGTACGTTTACCTTAACGTGGGTTTACGCAAACCCATCCACTGGATCTTCGTTGTTGCAGATGTTTCTATGCCAATCATTGGTATGGATCTTCTACAACACAATAACCTGGTCATCGATACGCGCAAACGTAGGCTAGTAGACGGAAACACTAATTTATCCGTTTGCGTAACTTCCTTCTCTGGTTGTAGATTATCCCCAGTCACAATTAAACATATGATAGACCCACTCTATCAGCCACTTCTCGATAAGTATCCTGGGATACAACATACGCAACCGAGATTACCGTGTGTAACCAGCAACGTTACACATCACATCACGACTACAGGACCACCTGTATTCTCTAAAGCACGACGACTAGCTCCCGAAAAGCTAAGGCTAGCGAAAAACGAGTTCGACCATATGATAGACTTAGGAATCATACGACCGTCAAATAGCCCATGGGCATCTCCGTTGCACATGGTCCCTAAAAAGGATAGCAACGATTGGCGTCCAACTGGTGACTATCGGCGATTGAATGCAAAAACCATTCCCGATCGTTTCCCGTTGCCTCACATTCACGATTTGACAGCTACCTTGAAAGGTACAACTGTCTTTTCGAAAATCGACTGGGTTAAAGCGTATAACCGAATCCCTATGGCTAGTGACGACATACCGAAAACAGCTATCATAACTCCCTTCGGACTCTATGAATTTTTGCGAATGCCTTTCGGTCTAAGAAATGCTGCTCAAACATTCCAAAGATTCATAGACGACGTTTTTCGAGGTCTCAACTTCGTACATGCATATGTTGACGACTGTCTAATCGCAAGTCCGGACAGAGAAACACATCTCAAGCATCTGGATCTTGTTTTCGAAAGACTACAAAAACATGGCATTACTGTAAACATTCAGAAATGCCAAATCGAAGCCGACTCATTAGACTTCCTAGGACACACTACCGATGCTCAAGGCATTCGACCCCTTAGGACCAAATTGTTGGCAATTCTGGATAACACAGAACCGACCACCGTCAAGCAAATACGAACGTTTAACGGCCTTGTAAGTTTTTATAGACGATTCATACCTAAATGCGCGTTACTTATGAAACCTCTTACCTACCAACTTCGTGGAAATGCGAAATCCATCAATTTGGACTACACCGCACGAAAAGCATTCTCCACAATTAAGGAACTTATCGCTAAAGCAACAATGCTCGCACATCAGGACACCGAAGCACCCATTAGTATCGCAGTAGACGCATCCGACTGAGCAATCGGAGGAGTCTTACAACAATGGGTTAACAACTCCTGGCAACCTTTGGCATTTTTTCTAAACGGTTGCTAGACACCGAATCGAGGTACAGCACATTCGGTAGGGAACTCCTAGCTATGTATTGTGCTGTACGACATTTTCAACACTACATCGAAGGTCGTGAATTCACTCTTTTCACTGACCATAAACTGCTCACCTTCTCTCTAAGCTCTCCTTCAGACAAGTACTCTCCCCGTGAGTCTCGACAACTGGACTACATTTCGCAGTTTACTTCAGACATTCAACACATTTCTGGGGCAAACAATGTAGTTGCAGACGCCTTATCTCGCATAACTTTCTTGAACAGTTTCCAAGGGATCGACCTTCTTAAACTCGCCGAGCTTAAAAAAAAGACACTGATCTTCAGCACGAGTTATCGTCCACAACACTTAAACTACGCATCAAACAGATGGGAACAGGTAAGGAAACCTTACTTTGTGACACATCTACAGGTAGGGATCGCCCAATCGTGCCGAAACATTATCGACACAATGTCTTCAACACATTGCACAAACTTTCGCATCCAGGTGTTCGTGCAACCATCAAGCTTATAGCAGAAAGGTTTTGCTGGCCTGGAATGAATAAAGACGTGAGGGAGTGGGCACGCTCCTGTGTAAGCTGCCAAAAATCTAAGGTTATCAAACACAATAAATGTCCCCTAGGCTCGTCTAAAACTCCCGATGCTCGTTTCGACCATGTTCATCTGGATTTGGTAGGACCTTTGCCAGATTCAAATGGATACGTTTATCTTTTAACTTGCGTAGATCATTTCACTCGATGGCCAGAAGCAGTACCTATCAAAGACATTACTGCTGAAACGGTGGCCCGCGCCTTCGTCGAACGATGGGTAGCAAACTTCGGCTGCCCTTCAACCATCACTACAGACCGCGGAAGTCAGTTTGAATCTGAACTTTTCCATTGTCTGACCACACTTTTAGGAACCACTCGCTTCCGAACGACTGCCTACCACACACAAACAAACGGGTTGGTAGAACGTTTTCACCGACAACTAAAAGCTTCGCTATCAGCTGCAAACGTTTCACAGTGGACCGACGCTCTTCCACTCGTCTTACTAGGTATGCACAATGCAGTGAAAGCTGACACTGAATACACTGCGGCTCAACTCGTTTATGGAACGACACTTTGACTTGCAGGAGAATTCGTGGATTCTTCGTCCTCTTCAATGAACATGGATCTAACCTCCTACACGAACAGGCCTATAGACGCAATGCGTTCAGTTAAACGTGCTTCCACTCGACCTCAATCAACTGATGTTTTCGTTCAACCTGACTTACTATATAGTACACATGTTTTCATTCGTCGAGACTCGCATCGACGACCATTCGAATCAGCATACGAAGGACCTTTCAAAGTTATTCAGCACGAATTTAAGTACTATATGGTCGATAAGAACGGAACAAATGATAGCATCAGCATCGATCGCCTCAAAGCAGTGTATTTAGAAGGAAATCCTATTCACGTCGACTTTCCTTCGGTACAATCGCACAACACGACTCGTACACTCATAATTCCTCAACCGACAACTAACACACGCGATGATACTCCGAATGTATCTGAAAATAAACTTAAGACGATGCGTTCTGGAAGAAGAGTAAGATTTCCAGAACATTTAAACGACTACTGCACGTAAGGCACTACTCGACATTTAACATTATCTCGATCTTTCTTTTTACGATATATAATATATTTAAAAAAACAATTTTAATATGCTTATATATTTTTATTTCAAAAAAAACAAAAAACATTATAAATTTTTTATAACGATATTACGTGCAAACTAGTTTATATTTCAAATTTTTTTCGCCGACATTGTGTTTTTACGCACATACGAGTGTAATTTGACATGCACATACATTTTCTTTTTTCTTTTCCAGGACGGCTGGAAAAGAACGATGACGTTTATGAGGAGCTGAGATTTTCATTGTACATTTTCTTTTTTTACTATGTTGTACCTCGGTCCCATATAGTAAGGAAAGACGAGCAGACGCTGCTAATCCTAGCAAGCTATCAGAAGAGTGTTTACCAACGACAAAACTCGCTGGGTTTAAACTTCCGGCTGGCCACATCTTAGGGTGATCACTAACCCACTAGGGGGAAGTGATCTGTAGCGGTAAATAAATCCCTAAAATAAATAACTCTGTAAGTTTTCGACATTGGATGCTGACCACATGTTTTAGTGGACTCATCTAGCTGAAGGCGCTCGGTCAGACATCCGTACCAGATCACGTGTGGTAACGCCGTGCTCAACATCAACCACAATCGCTAGCCAGATTAGATCAGAGAATTCCGATATTTTGGTTATCGCCAAATACACTCTTCCGATCTCCTCGACTCTGTCTTTTGATTTCTCTGGGTGGTTACGGATAATATTAGGTGTTACTGGTAGAAGCGTTGTCAAACACTGAATACCTGTGTCATCTTCAGTGTTACCTCTAAGGTTTGTGTCGTGACTGAAATTAAGTAGGTGTTTAAGAGGATGTCTGTAAGCGTTTAAGTTGCTGTAAGTCATTAGAGAGTCACGTTTAAGATGACTATATTGTGATGGATAGAGGTCCAGTGATTTAAGACGCGCCTCATAGGGTCTGAATTTGAGTCCCAGAGTTGACTTATGCCTCGTCGTTGGATACGTTCCAACTTATTCTTCTGGGGTGAGGAGGGAAATAATTTCCTCACACTGTAGATAGGATCGAGTAAAATTGTTTAAGATCAGGTGTAAAGTTGTGCTGTCAAAGTGGCTAAAAGCATCAACGTTACCGCTGCTTGCAAACCGAGCAGAAGAAAAAATGTAGTCTACCTCATATTAGGCGGTTTAGATATCACATTTGTCCCGTTTATTCTCAATCTTGACCTAAAAATTGATAAAATATTCTATCACAATGATCACTGTGCCAGTATAGCGGTAAATAAATCCCCAAATCAATAGCTCTGTAAATCATCAACATTTGATGCTAACCGCATCAGTTTTAGTGGACTCACTTATCTGGAGGTGCTCGGCCCCACATTCGCACCAGATCACTAGCGGGTACGCCATGCTTCCCACCTCCTGCGACCACTAACCGGCTTAGATTGATCACTTCTCGATATAGCATTTTTAAAAGTGAGTAACACATGAGTCAGGATGTAAAACGAGGTCGAAAAATCCTTTTATTTAAAACGTATGTCTAAATATTCTAAAAAGTCAAATCCATATCACTCACGTTTACTTGAAAATATTTTATATTTTATTGGCGTTTCTTGTCACAAAATAAGGAATTTTTGTATATCGCGCTACTATTGAGGGATCTTTATCTTCTCAAGGCCTTTCCGCGTACTCGATTATAGAGTCGTGAGTCCATCACGTTTATACAGTGTTTATTGCGAATTAGGCATTCTGTGCATTTCGAATCATCTTGGTTGTACATAGTATCGATTATAATTGTAAAAATAGCCTATATGTTCAGTTTTCAGTGAAAATATATGAAATCAGGGGAACCCAACAGGTAGTAAACCTATCACCTTTGTTGTAAGACGCAACCAAAAGCATCGTATATAAATAACTTGGAGTTGTGGCTCTTCAGATTATGAGCCAAACTCAGAATATTTTCCTAAAAGTCAATAAATAGTGAGTAGATTTGTTTCCCGCGATCTCGATAATACCGAATCATTTTGCATACAGACTATATTTTATGTATGGGAGTCTTCAAATGTTCATAGTTGTTTTCGTGGTTTTTACAGTGGCTACAAGTTTGGTGTCCAAACAAGCGAACTAAATAAGTGATAACGGGAAAATAAACCGTATGATATGGTGAACTTCATCGGCGAGACTCTAATATATGGACAAGCCAATCAGAGGCGTTTTAGAGATTTCAAGGTTACGGCACCAAATTCAGTGCTTAATGCTAACGTACGATCTGTTCACAGGGAATTTTGTACAAAACGTGATATTCGAGCAGCTATAACAAATAAAACGACAAGACTATAATTTGTGGACGAATCAATCAGGTATAAGATAATAGATCTCGGATTTTAACGTGAAAGTCATTCATCTATTTGGCTAAATAAATGTCTGGCAATATAGCTGGTGTCAGTTCGTGATGAAAACCCCATATATAATTCCTAACTAAGGCAAATTACGACAATTATTGCGAACTGGATAATAAAAGCACCAGTAACACTGACAGTAGCCAGGTACTACAATATATACGGATGTTTGGAGAGCGTACAGGCTCCTACATAGGCTTGGTCATGTGCATCGTTTTGTTGTCCATAAGTAGCATTTTGTGCACTCAACAACCTGAGTGCACATAAACAATATTGAAGCTATGTGGTCGGGACTGAAAGAGTATTCGACACTTTATCATGACTCCAGAAGCCGACTATTCTGTAGCAGTATGGATGATTTCCTCTACTGGATGCATTACGATTTTAGAACCTCTGAACCTCATTCTAACCTTGACAAGTTTTTGAACCACGTATAAGAAGTGTATCCACTTTATTTCCTTGGTTTTATATAACATATGTTTACTCTATATTGACTGTTCGCTGATTGTCTAATATTTCCCAAGGTCACTTGAGATTCGTTCAAAGGTCGTCCATAAATTAGATTCTCGCCTATTCTCCAATACATTTTCCGTTACTAGAGTTACGTCCTTGACTACTCATTCTCGTTTTTACTTTAATTTTCCATAAATGGGCTCACATAAACTGTTTTCGTTATCTCTCCTTAAGTTTCGACGGAACTATTAGTCCACGCTTCTATTCCTCTGTTTCATTTATTTCCTTTCAAGTGCACTCGTTAGTCTTCCGCTGCAGTTAATAACAATACTTCGACTTTTGTTGTGATCCAGTTGTTTCCTTGGCAGCGACACTCCATTCATTCCTGCTTCGGTTCGTGCGTTCACACTAGCCGAATTCTTTGTGTTGAACATATATATTTTATGTCTCCTAGTGCTAGTATTTGTGTGTCTAAGTAATGAATTTGGATTATACTCGTTAGTTTCCCACTGCAGTTAATAACAATACTTCAGCTTTCGTTATCATCCTGTTATTTCCTCGTTCTTACAGTCAGGGTCAATGAACAATTTTTCAAGACTTTTTGTTGATTGAGATTATATAATCGTTAATTTGTTGTTGAGAATGCTTTATTTTTCAGACGTCACAATTTTAGAACTTTAATCAGCCCTCCTATAATTGGTTAATTTTTTCTTTAACTTAGCTTCTTATGACTCTCAGTGAGCCTTCATTCAAAACCAAAGATGAAGCTAAAGACTTCTTGAAGTGTTTGTGCAATCAAGAACTTACTGTCCACGTATCGGATGGTCGAAGATATATTGGAAGCTTTTGGTGCACAGATAATGTTGGAAATATTGTAATGGGTTCGTGTACAGAGTATCCGGCACCTGATTCAGCATCCGACAATTCGCTAAGAGATTTCACCACTGTTGTTATCCCTGGACAGCACATAATAAAAATTGAATGTGATAGTCGTTTGCTAACAAATTGATTTTTTTAATATAAAACTTTTAACTCATTTACTCCCCTTCTGTTCTGCTGTCCTGTTAATTTTTATTTTTCATATAATGATTTTTATTTTAGTTCTCTTATTAGTGTTTAAAGGTGAATGATACAAAGTTAGTAAATAAAGCATCATTAGATACGTTGAATCTATGTACTTACCGAAGAGGGAAAGAAGGATGATTAAAAAAATAATTTGTGTTGTTTCTGCATATTGGTAGGTTGTGTTTCCATTATGATAATTAAAATAAATACTTTTAAGGTTTATTTCCATTTCCTTGGTATTTATAAACAAATGGTTATTGAGTGATAAGTCTGTATCGGTAAGTACTCAACATCACTGGTTAATAATAAACGAAAATTACTTAATCAGCTAAATGCACCGATATTTATAACTTGGTTTCAATGTGCAGTTACAGCATTTCTATGTTATTTAACATCGTATCTAGCTATGCTGTTACCTAGTCATGTGAAGTTTCCACAGTTGAACTTTTCTTTTAAAACGTCGATTGAAGTAGGCGACACGTTACTAATAAATTATTTTTCAGATCTTGCCACTGTCTATAATATTTGTTTCAATGGTCTGCTTTAACAACCTATGCTTGAAGTACTTGAGTGTTTCGTTTTATTTTTTAGCACGATCACTAACTACAATCTTCAACGTTGTAAGTTATTTGTGTATCACTAACAAATGATTGACACCTTTTTTCATTGACAGTTTAATTTCATTTTTGTTGTTTATTCAGTCCTGTGTTTAAGTCACAGTACAGCTACTTGTCAACTATGAAGGCAAATATTTGTCTTTATCAAACTTGGAAATTGAGTAGTTTCATAGCGCTAAATGTAAGCGGCAATTAATTCAGAAATGTGTTCATTACGTCATTAAAATGCTTGTGATCGAGGTTTAATCAACCGAGCCTACTTACTGAACTGTTGTAGTATTTGTATACTCTTATGATAATCTAAGTTTGTAAATTCTGTTTCTTTCTCCAAATATTATTGTGATCAAATAATCCTCGTCCATTCTAATCAACTGTTGTGAGAGCTTTGAAACGTGGTTAACACATTTAGGAGCATGATGGTGTAGTATTCAGTGTTTTTTTAAACTTAAGTTTTCCAGTTACTTTTTGTCAAGATTGTTCTCTAGCACTCAGCTTTTTACTAAATTGTATCATATGTTACGTTCCTAGTTTCCGTTTTAGCATTAGAGTTTTCGGGATCTACAAATTCTTGGAATATGATGATTTCTTAAGTAATTAATTGTCACTCCAGTATTGGTGCTAAATAGCAGCATTACACGAACTGTTCGAAAGTTTCCGAAGTCATTACTAATTCTTTCTATGTTACTAAGGAATGTGTCTGTCAATTGGCTTCCAATGTGCTGAAGTTCTAATAATCAATAAGAGTAACCGTTTTGTAAGAAAATGTAAATAGTAAATGATTGTGATAAACCGACAACAAATGTTACAATAATGATTTGTGTCGTGTAAATAATAGCGACACACAGTCTCTTAGGTTCCATAGGATATGTTTAAATAAGTAAGGTTTGTGACATTTTTCTTTGTTATTGATCTATTTCTTCAAACTACAAAAGCATACTACAGTTCATGTTTATTATCTTTGGTAGTTTTAAGCACTTTCGTCTAATCCTTGGGGAGTTCTAAATAACACTTATTCAGGCTTTGTCTAAAGTATTCCTCCATAATAAGTACTAATGATCATGGCTTTCATTATGCACAGGATAGGTTTTTATAAAGCAGTGGAAGCACTATTTAAGTAGCTTAACATGGAAATGTTACCATTAATAATAACAGCCTCAATGTAGCAAAGCCGAACAGGAAAAAAATAAACATTTACGTAGTCTCTTTCGATTGTCAATTTAACGGGTTAATATAGATAACTGTTCATCCCATCTGTGGGTCCATGACCACGTTTCTGCTTATCATTAGTTTAGATAATGTTTGAATAAAGTAATCGACTTACAAATAATAGAAATCGCCTTAGTGGTGGGTGTATACCAATCACACCTACTTTAAATAGTCGTACCACGAGAGACGATTCGTTGAAAACATCCTACTGCTTTGAGGTATGCATATCAATAAAGTTTTTCATTTATTGTTATTATAAAGTCGTGAGCTATTATACATTGCTGTTTATAACCATGTTGTATACGAAATGTCACATCTGTATCCATGCTGAATAACTCTATATTTTCTGTTTTGATTATGTTTATACTGAGTCTAACTCAGATATGTAAATGTTTCGAGATGATGAGACTAAAACATATGAGAGTGGTTAGTTGGTCAGTCAGCTACAACGTAGGACCAGGCACATATTTGCATCGGTCCAAGTTGCCACACCTCATTAGCACAACAAGATAAACACCGAATTCATAGAAGTAGTTACTTCAATGGTAGTAATGTATAAAAGAAGGATTGTGTATAAGGACATAGTGCAGGAAGAAAGAATTAGTTGATAGAAAGAAAGATATGAAGCAATTTTAGTCTCACAGTTTAAGGGAAGACAGAGAGTGTATACACATACGCTATTGTGAGCCATGTCACTCATTCTCCAACCATTGGTTATGTTAGTCACGCTGACCCCAAACAAGTAGTCTGTATCTACAGTAGATAAGTTGATTAGAAGCTAAGGAGTCTATAACTTGAAATTGGAGTCCTGAATCACATATTATCATATAAGCTGAATTATCTAGTAGTTAAGACAAATTATTTCCCTCTACATAGCCTGAATCCGAATGGATCCGTTTTTTATAGACTAACTTTTCAAGTCGCATATTTTACTTACGTACCTCCTGTTTCTTTGCAGGGTTTTTAATTATTTTCCAAGAATCTCCACAGTAATAATCACTATCCTTATCTAAAAATTACCTACAAATTTTCACAAACTTAAGAAAATGAACAAGGAATTATTGTATTTGAACTAACATTTCATCGTGACTGTACATTAATGAAAACTTTATTCACTCTCTACTATCTTAATTTCCGTGATCAGTTATTACTTCTACCGAACATCTTAAAATGAATGTGCTTGTTATTGAATTCACGAATACAAGTTCTAGATTGTATGATTCATTTAAAAATCTATATTATCATTGTTAAGCTATGATAGAAAGCTTACTAAACAGAAATACATCTTTAAATGTGTTTCGCAGATATCGTTACGTTATAAATTACATTTTTCCGTTATCCATTTTTTCGTTGTGGATACTAATTAAATAGGTCTTTGGTTATGGGATATGACATAGTTTTTAATAGACGATGTAATACAAGTCCTTCAGTCAAGACGTCCTAATACTTCAGTTAATATTTTCTTGGAACCTTTTCTTTTCAGTTAATTGTAGTTTCCTGTTTCTTCTCTCCGTCTAATAGATATTTACTTATTTACTGCTAAATACGAAAACTTCAACAAAGGCATTGATTTGTTGTGCTGCCATAATTGTTGGATATTGTGCTGGAGTAATTGTTGAGGGTAATTTAGGTAAGTTTTAGTGCGTTTTTTTCGGTCGGTAGATTTGTTATTCTCTAAATGTGGTATTTTATTTGAATTTATGTCTTGGCATTATATCAAACTTCACTGAAATAGTACAAAGTTTATGTAAATTCAAGCTTTAACCAGTCCTGTATGGAGTTATCCACTATGTTTCAAGCTATAAATGAACTAACTTCATAATTACCTAACATCACTAATTAACTTGGGTTTAAAAACACTTAATGGGTAGGGGAGTCCATATCACAAATAACTGAAAGTTCAATTTGTTGGTAAGCATAAATAAGACTGTTTTAAATCCAGTAAGATCGGAAACTCCAAATGGATTAGCAAAACATCTACTCATTCATTATGAATAGATGTAAAATGCTAGTAGCTAACAAAACTCAGACGATACGGAGATATGTAGTGCCTTTCCCCTTATTTTTGCTCACCTTTAATTTTCTCGTTTTCCTTTTTGGAACTTCTCTAATCCCTTTTTTATTTACCATACGTTACTTGAGTCCAACATCTCAAGTTCCCCAGATTTTCTTTCTCTAAATTAAGCAGTTAATTTTCTTGGTCAATATTAGTAATTGGCCTTTCGAGTTATGGTTATTCAGTTTACTACAAGTGGCTTATCGGTTCCGGGATTATAAATAAAACTTTAATATTCCGAAAAAATAACCATCATTTAAATTGTAATAAAGCAACCGGGAAACATATTGAGGCGTACGAGAGGAAAATGTTGTTCTGTGAAGAAATCCCTGCCGAAAAATTTATTCTCAGAGCTGTACAGTTGCAAATATACACTTTTTTTCATAAGGATTATTGACGATTTGGTTTTTGACAATAACTGTTATTTATTGAAAATATTAGCAAAGGGATAAGATAAACTAAGCACAATAATTCCATTCTTATTAAGAGGTTTAAGTTGTTATTAACATACATGTAAGTTACAATTATGATAAATTAATATGTATTTGCGATTACACTGCTTTGAGAATGAATTTTCTGGAAAGAAATCTCTACACTAAACCACTCTTTCCTGGATCCTAATTGGCAGTACCTTCAATATCGTTTTATTGGATGATTCTGCAAAAATACAGACGAACTGAAACAAACAGTCATTTCTTTATTGCTGAGATTATTTGTTAACTAACTAGAGCTTCAGTAAGTTTCTGTGTCAACTATCAACCAAGTAATGAAACTGTTAAATTCAGTGAGCAGATGTGGTAATCTGAACATTATTGATTAACGTTTTTAGCATAAATATGAAATAGATGCTTAGTGGGCTACTATAATTATTCAACTAACGTGATGTCTGTCAACTTGAATTGATTCACATGTGTATCATATCCTACATTCTTTAATATATTGAATAAGTGATTAAATGAAAATTTCTCTTGATATCGGTACTAAATAATAGAATATACATAAAATAGCTTAGAAATTATAAAAGCCTTTTATTGTATATTTTATTTACGAAAGCTCCTAGCCTGGATAAACGTTCTCTTTTCTTTTTTCGAATCATTTTCAGGTTCTTTAAGTTGGATTGGATTAGTGTTTGGTATTGCATCTAGCATTACTTGTGCATTAAATTCTATCTACACAGCAAAGTGTTTACCAAAAGTGGAAGGCAGTGTATGGAGACTTACATTTTACAATAATCTTAATTCACTTTTTTTATCAATCCCTATTATTGGCTTATTGGAATATCAACCAATTAAGGAATATTTTTTTCATACTAGGTATGTAAATGTTATTATTTTTAATCCCGATGTTCAAATCACTCATAAAACTGTTCGGATTTCGTTTCTGAATAAAAAGTTGCTTTAAATGATACAGTTTTAAGTGATTTCACTAGTGTATTTCAGTCATGAAATTCTGATAACTTGAAAATCTCAGCCATCTTACACGACACATACTAACGTTTTATAATTTTCGAAGTCAATACTACTACTTTCTGTTGTTAAATCCTAACGACCATTCAATAAATATTGTATTCGTTTTGTCGTAACATTAACCAAAGAAACTGTTGCTTAATCTAGAAAAGCCCCCCTCTTTTATAGGTTTTATATTACAATCTACGTTCAATGACAAATAATTCTTCAGTTAATTCACAAAAGACTTACTTTCATCTTTTCGTCGGGATGTTATATTGTAGATTCATCCATCTAAAAAAAGAATCACGTCAATTTAGAACAACCTTTATTTAAAAAAATGAAAAATTAATAAACTAATGTTTTGTAATCTCAATAGTTGAGAGCATGAGTTGACTGAAGCTAGATCACCATGCGCATTTACGATCTCACCTCGCGAGATTCGAACCCAGGACATATCGGTCTCGCGCACGAACGCCTAACCTTTAGACCACTGAGCCATTTTGTTTTTGTTATAAGTAGAAAGTAAACAGCTGTTGCCTAAAAACTCATTAGTAACCTGTTAGTTCTCTTAGACTAACTTACGACAATCACATTTCACTACACTCTGTGAGCTTGTTTATCTTCTAATGGAATTCGATCATTTATTAATGTATTTCCGACATACAGTTCAGAGATAACTTATTAGCGCTTGAAATCACAATTTAATAGGAAACCTAAAGTAGGGTTACAGTAGTGGTTTTTGCGACATACTGTTATCATTCGAAGAACTATTAAAAACCAATAAGTTCTGGATAACTCAAGTGGTTGGGACTAGTCACCAGAAAGCCCTGCTTGACCTAAGTTTCGTGCTAGTTGATACACATCAGAACAATGTACCTGGAATTTTAAGGGAACTAATGCTTCCTGTGGGGTTAGAACATGCATTACTTAGTTTCTTAGTCTGAGATGTTATCACTGATTTATTCGGACAGTGGCTGATTTACAGTCAGTCGATTACGGAATAGTTATCATTGTCATGTTTGCCTAGTCATTTAGTAACGACCAAATTCTGTCTGTAGGCAGCAGGTTGCGACTCATCACAAATCCACTCATTTTATTTTCCTTTGTAAGCCTAATGCATAAAAATTTGTTTATTACATATGTATGGATTCCTAAAAAGTGTAGATAGCTATTAAATTTGCATAAATTTTGATAATAATTGTTAATGTGAGGAGAGGAGTTGAAGTGGAGCGAAGTGGGAGGAAGTAAACACGTATCTAATCATTTGATGACAATTTCACCATATTGTAAATCATGAAAAAGTAGTAACACTACTTTATTATAGATTTATTAGAGTTATGAAGAGGAATAAAATCAATCCGAAAAATATAACTATGTGAATAGGCATGGATATAATCTGTTTTACAAGCTGATAAGTAACATTTCTTATAATACATTATAATAATATCTAATAGTTAAAATATACTTTGGATCTTGATTGATGTTGATTTTGCTAATCAAACTCGAATTTACTGTGAATAATTAAATGTTCGCAATGATGCACACTAAGCATCATTCTACCGAGCTTTATAATCATTTTATGCACAACTAGTATGTGGTATTGATAGTAATAAGGTATATTTATCCGTCATCCTACATCATATTATGAACAGGTTTGTTTAGGTAGATAAATGTTATACCTATTTTGTTCGGTCTAACAGTAATCGGTGTTTCACTCAGCACTTGACAAATCTTGAGTGAAATCGATATACAACTCCAAATAAGTGTTATAACTGAAAAATCCTTTATTCATAGGCATCATTACTAATGTTTGACTTGATAATTTCGAATAAATTGAGCATTGGATAGATTATTATAAATAAATAATATATTTGTAATATCCCAATGAGCAGAAAAATTAGATTTTTTGACGTTTCGTGACTTAGTGCAAGCCACTTCTTCCGAGAATAAATATTACAAATCCTTTATTTATTTATGAACGCGTGATCGATCGCTTAGACGGATATATGAATGTAAAGTGACTGATTGAAGCTTACACATGAGATCCTAAATTGTTAACATAACCCCGTAAATAAACAAACAAACAGTAAAAGAACAAAACAACTGGTCAGTAAATTGTTTTTGTTATTACCATTTTTCCTTTAGCAAAACGCGATAGAATTAATTTCGAAATATTTAATACAACAATAAACATGGTTTACAAACCTGCGTGATTTCAAGAGGCACAATTCTTTTGGGTCGCTTACTAGCCAATTAAATTTTAGATTTAACTGACCAAGCGTGCTTCCTTACCTCTAACTATTATCAGTGACGTTTGGTAAACGTGTTCTATTCTTTTTTGTTTTTGGTTGATCGACTGAATCTAACTGTATAATAAGCATCACGAACTAGCCTTAGTTATATAACCGTTGAAAATAAAAAAAGGCAACTGAACATTTGCTTGGTCCTTGTATGCGTCGCTTTTCCAGTATGGATCCACTACCCCAAGGAGTATTTAAGTCAGGACCTTCAGCTGGTCTCTTTGGAAGCTCTAAACTTTTGAACTGCCCAGCCAGTATCTAATAAACCTAATCAATCCGCTTATATTTAAATGCTTACTTTATTTGTTTTATTCTTATTTTAGGTGGAGTATTGTTCTCTGAGCTGGATGATTTGGTTGTGAGGCTTTCACTGTTCTCCTGAACATCATCAGCACAAACTTCAGGTAGAAGTGAATCGTTCAGATTTCTCCACGTATAACTTCGCTTGTCTTGTCGATCTCGATTTTGAATAGTTATCGTTGACCTTTAACCTGTCATTGTCTACTTTATTCTGGTTGTATCAACCTTTGACTTGATTCTTGGTCCTGTATTTGTCCACGATTTTCCTGATTGGTTGATAGGTTGGATCGATTTCAATGTTTGTCGATTGCTAATCTCTTTGTTGGTTTCCGAACTTGATTTCATTTCTTTTGACGAGTTGGGCTGATATTTTTCGATGAAGTTGCGTGTATAGCCATCTTTTTGAAGGAGGCGAAATCAAGTACAGAAACCAACAAATAGATCATCCTGTTATATATAAAAGACATATCAGAAACTACAACAAGATTGGTGAAGCCGTTTAAAATAAGTGCAGCACAAAAACTAGCAAAACCATATTAATCAATTCCACGCAAATCAGAGGACAAAATGACAAAAGAAGAAAAATCGAACATCATCTACAAAGTAAACTGCTCCAATTTTGAAAGACACTACATTGGACAAAGTGAACACCCCCTTCATCTTCATTTGCACGAACATCAATTAGCGGCCAAACGCCGTGACATAGCATATAGACAACTGAGAACACACGTCCATCTGGAAAAATCTTGAAATCTTCAAAGAGGGAATGCTAAGAACAGCTGGGAATTTTTAAAATCTTGGCACTCAGGTTAATCAGCAATCGACAAACATTGAAATCGATCCAACCTATCAACCAATCAGGAAAATCATGGACAAATACAGGACCAAGAATCAAGTCAAAGGTTGATACAACCAGAATAAAGTAGACAATGACAGGTTAAAGGTCAACGATAACTATTCAAAATCGAGATCGACAAGACAAGCGAAGTTATACGTGGAGAAATCTGAACGATTCACTTCTACCTGAAGTTTGTGCTGATGATGTTCAGGAGAACAGTGAAAGCCTCACAACTAAATCATCCAGCTCAGAGAACAATACTCCACCTAAACCATCCACCTGAGCTACAAATCTTTGCCACTGTTTCATTATACACTATGATTTTACCTTAATTTAGTCTAAATTATTAAGCCTGCTTTGGAATTATCATTGTCATTTTCATTTTTTTCTTAAATATCATAACAATATTAATCAGTGATTTTTTTCGCAAACTATTTACTATATTTTTCTAGTGCTTATTTCTGGTTTATTATGGTAATTAGTGGAATATTTGGATTTGCTATTGGTTACATCAGTACACTACAAATTCAAGTGACCAGTCCATTAACTCATAATGTTTCTGGTACTGCTAAGGCAGCTGCACAGACAGTACTAGCTGTGATAATTTATCACGAAATCAAATCAGTTTCATGGTGGCTTAGTAATATTGTTGTTTTAGGCGGATCAGCAGTTTATGCAGCTGTTCGACATATAGAACATGAACAAAAATCTAAAGGATCAATGAATTTTAATCGAAATGATAATTATTTTACTAGTGTGGTTGTTGTTGGTAGTGATGATAAAGATGTTGATGATGCCAAACATGGTCTTCTCAATTTTGTGAATAATGACAATCGTAATGATGAAGATGATTTATATGATAAGAACCGTGTATTATCTTCATCTAAAGATTCATTAGTTTCATAATTTCTTGGTATTCTCTTGTATTTTGTCTTTTTTTTTGTAAAGGGATTACATTTTTTTGCTCTCTATGGGCTGCTTAATAACTTGATTTCACTGTGATATGAAATAAATGTTTAGATTCAGTAGAAGAATTGAAGATTTTCTGTCTTAACTTTTTCTCCGTATAATGGGTTTACTTTCGGAATCATATGAAACAATCAGTTGTTGGGAAAAAGAATACCTGCTGGTTGCTACTACTGTATATAATCTACACTATCTATTCCAATATGACACAGAACCTAAGACCTGTATGTCATGTGGCTAGCGCACTATCATTTAATCGCTAATCGGGCTTATATACTTCACTTTTCCAAACTTAGTCTTGTGATTGATCACATCTATTATCTGGTGTCAGTAATGGACATCAGTTCCCAAATAATGACATAAGGAATTTATACTGCTCAGTGGCTTCCGATGATCGTCGTTCAATTGAAAATATTTTTCTTCAGACTGTAAAAACTCAGTATGCTCTGAATTCATAGCTGTTTAAAGTAACCTCACTGACTGTTAACCATTACAACAGGGGACTACAGGTCTGGCATTTTCATTATTTTCAGTCATTGAAATGATAATGCTTTTATTATGCATTGTATTTTATAAGATGTAGACTTAAAACAGAAAGCAATTCTTGATAAAGTTTTAAGTCTTTACAAATGACTTCAATGGATCCGTTGCTACTGTTCTTGTTAGTCCCTCATTTCTATAAGTCTTATGTCTGTTAGCTCTGAATCCTTTTGTCCACAAAATCTCCAACTTTATCAATTCAGTTTACACACATTTAGATTTGCATATAAGTTGAGGTCATTTGATAATGAGGGTTCGTAAACTACACATTAAAAGCCTCTCCGTGTTATCAAATTATTTTTAACGTCACAATAATAATTATAATTAGAAACTATAATAGGATTGTCATTTATAGCATGATCCTAAAAATATATTAATAGTTCGTCGCATATGGTGTGCTCGTTATTTGAAGAATGTGTATCATTTGTTGCCGATAAGGTTCATTTTTTATACCTACTATTGATTTTACAACATCAAAAATGTCAGAGCTAACTTATAATTTATCTTGACAATGTGGAACGGATACGCTACTGTAAACATTTATGTTATGTATAGTAAATACATAAACCTGGATACTGACTGCTCGCTCTATTGTTGTTTCAGTAAATATATGAATATTGATGACACTGGTATTTAAACAGCTAACCTTATTGTAGATTGAGTTCATCATCATTTACTTAAACCAATAATGCTGATCTCTTTCATATTTACTATGAATAAAAGATCGATATGCATTCACTCTATCTAGGTCAGTAACTTTTATTGAAACATAATAGAAATAAATATTTACCAATACAATGGTTGCGTTATATTTATCGATGAGTCTTAAATTTGAAAGATTCAAGTGATTTCTACTGATCTGTTACTTTTTCAGTCAACAATAACAGCCAATTGTATCGTATCATTCACTTAGTATTTAGTGACCAAAGTAATAAAAGTTTGAATAAGTATTTCACTATAGAAAATAGGATAAAACTGGGAAATAAAACCTGGTGAACTAATACTTTGAAAATTACATAGTAAGTGTGTAAGTGATCAGTTTAAATAAAGAAGTATGAAAGTGATGGTGAAAAATAAACATAAAGGAAGTGTGAATAATTAGTAGGCTCGTCTACTAATTCTTATCTGGTGGAGGGGATAGGGGTGTTAAAACATTTGCGACACAGTGACCAAGGTTGTAAGCCTAAATCTCTACAGCTCGGAATGGTTTAGTTTTATCTGTAATATGAAAACCGTCAAGCAAGCATGATAAGAGAAGCTGCCTATTGACTGTTCGACCCTATCCAAACTACGTAGGGGGACGTTCACTTACTCGCTGGCCAGGCTGCCTAGTAGTACGCCCGATATAGCTTTCTCTATAGGATTAGCAGAATTGGTAAATATACATCAAAATCCCAAAAGCAGGTAACTTATTATTTGTCTGAGCAAACATCACTAGTCGACTTGAAAATGATATACATAAACCTGTTTAACCATCCTAACTAGTATATTATGTTAGACATTGGTAGATATATCTGTCCATTTGCAGTTTTAGGAAGAGCTTTGTTTCTTTGTACACATTCTTCAAAAAAACTTGAGTTGTCTATTTCAGTCAGCATATTACTGACGAACCCCAACTGTCTTATGGCGTTATATGACCAGATTTTTTTTCCTTTGCTTGTAAGACGTCTAACCAGGTTTTTTTGTAGTAAACAGATATGAAACTAAAGGGGTTTGTGTAGTGGGATAATAAACTTTTTACATACACTTATCGACTTAACTTGCCGTCTTTTTAATGACATGTTGAGCAAATGCAACTTAATATTACACAAGTGAATGTGATTGCCTAGTGTACACTGATTTTGGAGTTCTCTTTATTGATATTATTATCGATGATGAATGCATCGTCAATATAAAAGCAGTATAAATCTAAATTTCCTATTACTTCCTTGAAGAGTCTGTTTTCTACTTTGGCTAGCAAGAAGCTAAGATTGAGCCTAAATATGATGTCATAGCTATTACATCAATTTGCTGATAACAAATTTGGTCGGAGAGAGAATGGGATCCTTAGTGTACATCTCGAGAGTAATTCTTTACGAATATCCTCAGGAATTCCAACGTTGAGTTGCTTTTCTGAGACCTATCTGCATATGAAATAAATTAATGGTACATTGGCAAATAAAAATGTGATATTTAGAGAGATTATGCTTTCTGATAACGTTCATATCTTCCCCTTTTCAAACAAAACCCAGAACAACTTTAGAGCTTTTATTTTCGGCTGATTTATGCTGAGGTTCGAACTTGCCACTGCAATTTTGTGATATGAAGAATTGTACATATCTAAAACGATGAAAAGGAAGTCCAAACTTGTGAAGTTTAGGTGGATCATAGGGTTTTAATGAGTTTGATGCAGGTTTAGGTGAATAATGGAAATCTGGTAAACCTGTCCCCTGTCTTTTCAGTTCTCTAAGAAAATTAATCATTTCTCTGCGTCTCCCTTAACTTTTATTTTGTCACTATTTTTTCCTTCGTAAGATCGCTAAGCATAAAATTAGTTTTATCTGTGCGTCCCGTTCATTCGTCTACCTGATTTGCTTCTGATCTAGGTATCTTCTTTTCTCTTTAGCATTTTTAAGCTAGGTTGATCCAGTTTGGTTAGTATATATTTCACAACATCCTTGCAAATTTTGCATAACAATAATAAGCGAACTCTAAGTATTTCTAACAATACACCTGATTTATACAGCCCTTTATATTTTCGGTATATAAAAATAATACTTTATACTTATTTAATTAATCTTAATTTACTGATTATATTTACCGGTATGGATGTTTATTGTTGGATTACGTTTCAGGAAAGATGACATAATGATAAATACAATGTGTAAATTGATTATTATCGATGTTAGAAGACATACTGCCTTATGTTTCAAAGTAAATTTGTAGTAGTTCATGAAGTACGGATTATCTGTTAATCCGCCAAATTATAGAATAAATGTTACATTTTCTCTTTCAAAACAAGATACAACTTTTGGTGTTGTTTGAACACATGAAGATGCAAATTAATGCAATTAACAAGGGATTTACTGCTTTCCACGTCAAGTATAAATTAATTCTAACTGATAGAGAGCGTGGCCTGTCTTATAAATACGGAAACTGAATTACTAGTTGTTAGTGAAACTTCGGAAAACCAGAAAATCTATAGAATGTCAAGAGCTATTCATGAGGGTAATAAATTGGAAAAAATGGCTTCTTTCAGATTAATCATAGGTATCGGTGAGGTCTATGAAGACTATAAAGATGATCAACACCAGGATCACCGTCAACCTCTTAGCGGATGAAAAGATAGAACAAGTGCGATTTACTGTTTCTTCTGAAAGCCGATTCACTGTTTAAGTGATTTTTGATGGACTGGATTCAGGAAAATTGTCTGTTCATTTGATTTTGGCAAAACTTATGGAGCTGAGAAGTTTGAATTGACGAGATGGTTGACAAGCTTGACTTCTGACGACATCTAGGAATGTTTCTAACGATGGAAATGATGTATCCCAAATTCTGTGAATGACCTGAATTCACATAATTATTGAACAGAATAGAATAGTCATGCTGTTGTTTAAAATGTAATCACTTTGAACCATGATATTAATCCTATTTACGTATGACACATATCTAATTAAAAAGGATGGGAACGATTTCCTGGCAAACAAAGGAAAAGTCGCCCGAACGTCTGTTAGTTTTCTTCGCTATCATTAAGATTTTTAATTTTATTTTAAGTACCAATCCTGCAGTGTATGCTACTTATGTTGATAGATATAGTAGTATGTAGCACCAATCGAAAGTGGAATACCTGCGAGCAGAAGACTGAGAGGATTGAAATGAAGAGGAGAGAAAACTTAAAGAAATCAAAACAACAACGGGAATAAAGGAATGATGAGGTTTGTAAGAGACAACTGGTGAAAGATGTGCAAATGATGTATTCAATGTATGATTTTCATAGTTTACGAAGATACTATGTAATTCGTCATCAAACGAGAAATTGGTTATCCCAACCTGAGTTTTAGTTCACTACAATCCTACCAAAAAAATTAAAAATGTAGCTAACAGTAATAACTATGTTGAAAAGTTATCAACCTGAATTGCCAATTAGATTAATTTAGTGTATTCTTGTTTAACAGGATGAGTTTTGCGCACTGAAGTAATGACTGAAAGTGAAGAACCTGTATCGAGATAGGATTTTTCCAAATAAGCTGAGGATGACTTGTCCTATACTTGTTTCACTACTATCGGGTATTTGATTTAAAACTAGATCATCAATACAAAATAGCAAAATATTTGACATGCATTTGTGTTGAATCAGTTTTGGAAGAATGTGTTAATTTGACTAAAAGATAAATCACAAATTATTTTTTATCGGCATTTAA